CCCCAAAACCCCAAAACCCCAAAACCCCTTTATGAATAAATTAAATTGCATTAAAGAAATTTCATAAATAGCATTTTCAATATATAAAATGGGATGCTCAAAATCTAAAATTTAGTAAGATGCAGTTGTTCAGATCAAGCAGAAATCATAATAATAATTGCCAATCGATCCCCCAACTAAGCCAGTCTTGCCTGAAACTCTCAATTCAAGAGACTAAACTCCCAGTCCAAACATTAATCTCTCAAGTATTAAGCCTGAATTGAAATAAGAACTAGAGTTCGTTGATTATAAATCTCCAATGAATTTGCCAAAGCAAAATGATGATCCTCATCAGACCTTAGATATCTCAGAACCATCACTTGATGTACCTAAACAAAATCCAGTCCAGCCACTTTGACCTCAAAAATGGCTAAGTAAATAGAAATTCGACAAATCAATAATCACCTTTGAAGATCAGCCACCATCATAACTGTAAAAGATAAAGGAGTAACCTCCTCCTATTTACAATGATGAAGAGATGGATATGGCTTTAGAGTCTTTTAAGGAAATGCCAATATAAATCTAGCCTGTATAGATATCTGAATAAGAAAAGCTGATCTTGTAATATAGAGAGTAACTAGCTGCTCTGTCTAAAGTTAAAGTGGTTTAAAAGCCAAAGCCGCAGTATTTAGAGTTCAAGTTTGAGCCAGAGGGAGAGCTATACTTTCTACAAATTCAATATTCATTCCATTACGATGCCCAAGCAAAGAACTTTGTTAGTAATCTTGAAAAGAAGTCCTTGAAATATCCATTAACTTCCAAGGAAATACTTATTTACAGACTCAATTGGTAGCAAGACAAGAGAACTTAGAACTTTTAGTTTAAGCTCCAGAAAAAGGCTTTGATACCTCTGCAAAAATATGAGTAAATCTTCAACAATGAGAGTATATTTGAGAATAGCATCTTTAAAAAGGATGAGCCAATTAGGTTCGTTGTGACTAAGGATGGCTTTCTAAATTCTATTGAAAATATGAGGTAGGTGGTTGAGTAGTAGATCAGTTTTAAGAATCTTAAGGAACCCCCAAGTAAAAACTAAATTGATAGAGAGGTAAGGGAGAGTGAAGAGAACTTAAAAACGTTATGGATTGCTTTAGTATCAAAATGGGTTAAGTTAAGTAAAGACGACTTCATGATAAAATCAAAGTACAAAGTGGATTTTGGAGATAAGGATGTGTTTGAAATGGAATTTATCAAAGATTGCAATCCTAATTTGATCAAGTCTGAGATCAAATAGAATCTCTTACAGACTGAGTTCTATTAGCAGGCTGTTTATCAAACTGTAAGAAAATCAATTGGGAAGAGTATTTGGATAGCAGACTATAAGAAGTCTTTGAAGGAGGATGATTAAATCGGAGTTGACTCTCAAAGTGATGAGGATTCGAGAGAGCTTTTGAAAAAGGAATTGGAATTTCTAGATAACATGTCAAAACTCAAGAATCCAAAGTCAAAACTAAAGATGAAAGAACCTGAGAAGGAAATCAAGTATCACATCACAAACATTAGTGATACATTTAACACTCATAGTTTTGAAGAGAATCTTAAGCCACTAAAAACATCAATAAAGAATCAATCACTTGTAGTATACACTCATCGTAAAGACGAATATCTGACTGTAGATGTGAAGAGCGATAACTACCTATTGTTCTTTTTATACGAAGACTGTGAGGATATGCTGTCTAAATCCCTTTTGGTCAATACATTGGAGTTTCTTGTCTAGTGTGAGAAAGAGCAGAAGCAAATAAGAGAGCTTCTGGAGAATTCCTAAGTTCCCTTTGTTGATAAATAATGACACTGATCCCTATCCCCACAATAAATATTGTATGTATATCTATATTAGATGACCTTGTAAATCTTAATTTAATCAATAACGATAATACGATTAACATTCTCGTTTGGGGTTTTGGGGTTTTGGGGTTTTGGGG